GCTTTTGCTGTTTTGCCTTTTATCTCTAGGGTGTGTTGTGCAGGTGTGTTCTGGTTGTGGGGTTCTTCCTTAACTGGCTCTTTGCTGTGTGAGCAGCTCTGGGAGTGTTTTCTCTGGTTGCACAGCTCTCACTGTGCTCTGTTCCCACAGGCAGCTGGCTCACGAGCTGGGGTACCCCTGGGTCGAGTACTGGGACTTTCTGGGCTGCTTTGCTGACCTGTCTTCCCAGGAGGGCCTGCAGAAGCTGGAGGAATACCTTGCACAGCAGGAAGTGGGCAGAAGGGCCCAGCAAGACCTAGGAGAAAACGAGGCTTCTGCCTTGGGTAAGGACTTGAGGGCATCCCTGTGCTCACAGGACCTGGGCCCTGTCTGTGGCCCCGACTAAGAGCATGTCCCTGCGGATGTGGGAGCGCCTGCGGCTCCTCTGCCCATCAGGCTCTCAGTGCCCTGGGTTCCGCAGATCAGCCCGCCCCTCCCTGTGGCTGCTTTCGGTTTTGGCTTCCTTCTCATTTTCCTGGAGGCTGTTTCAGTTTGCTCACCCTGCTTGTCCTTTCCCTGGAACAGGTGGGTGGTTTGGTCTTGTGTCTGAGGAGGAGGCTTTGATGAGAGAGGGGTTGGTCGTGGGGTCTGTGCTGGGCCGAGTGCCTGTAATGCGGGCTGTTACCCGCACCTGAGGAGCCACGTTGTCTCCCTCACAGGCTGTCGTGGGAAGTGCAGCAATTCCATCTCTGTGGGGGCCTTTCTCGATGAAGACGATGACATGAGCTTGGAAGAGATTAAGAATCGGCAGAACACAGCTCGAAACAACAGCCAGCCCACAGTCAGGGCTTCCAGAGACTCGGGCTGCGACATCCTTCCCTTGGTGCAGAGGACGAACCTTATAGAAGACGAGGCGGGGCCCTGTCCCCACAGCAGCAGGAATGGCTTCTGCAGCCCCCTGAGCGGTGGCCAGACCCAGCGTGGGAAGAGGACAGAGGCCGCGAGCGGGGAGGAAGCCCTCTCGTCAGCTGTCTCTGGCTTGACTGTTGAGTTCGACAAGCTCAAATTGCAGAATCTAGGAAGTGCGTTTTCCGAGACACCAAATAAAAGTGTGAAAACGAGAGATGAGAAGATCCTGACGTCAGGAATGGAAGTGGTGGACAGTGACATGGTAGAGCCTTCTGCTGCCGACAGACTTGGAAGCAATCAAGCAAGGACGGAAAGCGAGATGTCAGCAGGCATTGCAAACCTGTGCCTGGGTCCCCACTGTCACGGCCATGAGGCCCAGCACAGCTGCACCTCTGCATCCTCGGAGCCCTTGGGGGTCGCCGCCAGGAGGGAGCCTGTCCGGAGGCTCTTCCTTCTGGGGTATGAGTGGGTGTGTGAGCATGTGGGTGGCTGTGGGACGGGTCTGAGCGCAGTGATGTGGAGGAAGGGGTGTGCGTGTGACACTGATTCTCTGAAAGCTTTGTTCTGCCCGTAGCCTGGGTCTCAGGCCGGTGGGAACACGTCCTTTCTCGCTCATCCTTGTGCTGCTGTCCTTTCTGGGGAAATGGTTGCCCCCAGAATGACTGGAACGTCCTAAGAATATAGCTTGTTGTAGGAAGAAAGGCCTTCTGGGGGTCAGTCTACGCCTCCCAGGTGGCTGTCCAGGTTGATGGTTCTCAGAAGTGGACATAGGACTGCATTTTCACAGCGGGTCTTGGGGCGGTGGGGCCCAGCGCCTACATCGGGCTGGCTCCTGAGCTCGGGCAGGGGTGTGAAGTCTGTCTCAGTCACACATGTTCTCTTCTCTGACGCCGTGCAGGGAGGAGCCGTCCAAACTGGATCGCGACGTCTTGGCAGCTCTGGAGGGTGCAGACCTGGACCCTCAGCGGCACCCTGCCGTGCACAGGTGGAGGAGCGCTGTCCTGGGCTACCCACCCTCCGACAGGCAGAGGTACCACGGGCCCAGGGGTTGCTGGTACTAGCGTCCGGACCCACATGCACCTTGTGGTTCCCCAGGACACTGCCACGCTAGCGTGTAGCTCCCCATGTGTGGCCGTGGCTGGGGCACCATGGAAGGGAGGTCTGCAGTGGGTGCAAGAACAGAAGGGTGCTGCTGACAGGGAGGCTGCAGGGAGGGTGCCCGGGGTTCTTGGTCATGGTCATGTGGGATTCACGTGGACAGTCACGTGAGCTATTAGTCTTCAGGGCCAGTGTTCCGAGGTTCTAAGGGCCTCTGGTTGGAGCCACAGTGGAGCCTCGGCTCAGGAGCAGGAGCCCAGGTTCTGTTGTGGCCTCCACTCTTCCCACACCCCTACCGTCCGTGCTGACAGACCTTTCTTGGTTTCCTCAGTTGGCCGAGCCCCTCGATAAAAGGGAAGTTGACATCTCAGCTGCCGGATCTCGATTGCCTGACTAGCTGCAGCCCAGGGAGAAGTGGTCCCGCAGGGGGCAGCCCCAGGAAGCCTGGCTCTGTCCCCCACTCCCCCCGTATGGGCAGCCCGGGGCGCTACAGCCCTGCCAACGGGGGCCACCTCCGCAGGATGGTGCGCCTGGCCCAGCACGCAGCCTTGTAGGCTGTGCGTGTGCTGGGCTCTCGCTTCATTAAAGAAGGGTAATGTGTGGTTTGCTAAAATTCACAGAAAAAGGATATATTCTGATTCATTTATTAATCCTCATTTTGAGAGTAAGAATTTTAGAAAATGCAAATGTTTCATGTAAAATGTAGATTTCTGGCATTTTGAGAGAAGTTGATGAAAGCAAATGCGGATACCAGTTTTCTGGAAACTGAACATGGTCATGATGCAGACCACAGCTACATCCTGGGGCGAGTGGGACGGGAGCTCAGCTGCTTGCATTCCCACGAATCTCGAATCTCGGCGGGTGCCGGAGGCGGTGACGGCCATGCAGGGCCAGCCCCCCTGCCACAGCCATGCTCACTTCAACTCCGTTCTGAAAACGAAGGTGAATTTTGTTCACTTTCCTTTTCAGGGAGGGTTTTTCACTTTTGGGTTCTCCTTGGTTAGATGAATTTAAAGCTGTTCTTTCTCTTGGACAAAATCTGTAGCCACTGGGAGGTGAGTGGTAGGCAGGAATCCCCGCGGCCAGGAGGTGTTTCGCCAGCACTGAGCGCGTGTGCCCTGCTGCCAGTGCAGTGGGGGTGGGGTGATCTGTAAGTTGTTCCCTGGTTTTGAAATTATCTCCTATTTTAGAATTCACTTCAGTTGGAATTCCTTTATAACATGTCACCTTTTAGTACAGAAACTAGAGGTCGACTTTTGGCAGGTTTGAGCCTGGTTTAGTTACTCAAGTGTGGTTTACTTTAGGGGTCCTTCCTCCTGTCTGTGTGCACAGAGCGTGGGGGTCACCACAGCTCCCCGGCCCATACCGGATGCCCAGGGACAGAAAACTCTACCTGTGCTTTAATTGACTTCAGTGCCTTTTGTAAATCATTTTTTATTTTTTCTGAGCTTGTTTTTTGAGGATGTACAGTGATACTAAGTAGGTGTGAGATTCTTATTCATAAAAATTGTTATTTCACACGATAACAAGAGGCAGGTCAGGAATATTAGAATCAAGATTTAGATTTAAAAATTCTAGTGGCTGTTACACAAGGTGTTTTCACATCTAGAAGACAGAAAATAACATTCTATTGTAAAATCCAATGGCATTTTAAAAGGCGTCTGTTCTCAACAGAAATCAGAATGCAGATATTCACAGTGCTGATCTGTTTTTCCTGGAATCTTACCCTACTGGGCTGTATATTGCTGTAAATATTCAGATGAAATTAAAATAGTGTTTTTGCTGTAATTTTGCCGACTACTGTTCGTTTTGTGAAGCTTTGGCCTTTATTCCCGTGTGTTTCTGTCAGGCGGCTGAGTCCCAGTGACCGCATCATCACGAGACCTACAGTGATGATCTTTGTAAAACTACTTAATGAAATGAATTTTTTAAAACCATGTGGTAATAATTCCAAGATTTCAGAAAGACCTCTCACCTGTTACCCAGCCAAATGCCCTTAGTGTTTGGTAAAACTGTTCGCCTTATTCCTAACACACTTGTGAACAACGTGTGTCATCGGTTAAATCCACGGATTCCCTGCCTGCCTTTGTGATGCCAGCAGTCGGTGTGTCGTTTCTGTAGTTGGAAAGAGGTGACTTGTGAGCTGCTCCTCGGCGGGTTGGGGTGGGCCCGGGAGGCTTCCTCTGCTGTGAAGTGAGTGTCCGTCCCATGTGCAAGAACCACAGACAGATCCTCTGAATAACTTACATCTTTCCAGAAGCTTCCACAGCTTCCAGAGGAAAGGGTGGGTTGTGGGATGCCTGCCCGTTGGGTGTAGTTTTGAACGTCCCTGAGCCGGGCGCACTCGGTGGACTGCTGGAGGCACAGCCTCTTCCTGTCCCTGACACGGATGTTCGCGTGTGGACACCACACGCTCTGGCTCCAGACTGCACCACCTTTCTGCCTTCAGCTGCCTCAGCAGGAACATCGGGGACCAAGCAGCACAGAACAGAACAGCCTGCCTCCCCACTGGTGTCGGTCTGGTCCCTCATGGCACATGCATTCCTGATGGCCAATCTTCGGGTGTGGTGACCTCCGTTTCAGAAGCCTCTGGTCACCTGTCCTACCTCAGGGGACAGTTTCCACCAGTCACTGGGCCCTGGAACCGCATGCCCAACACCCTCCTCCCGCTCCTTAACTGCGTCTGCCCTGAGGGGGCTCATTTCCAGTTTCTGGGAGGCTGCTGTAGCTCCTGGGGTCCAGGTTCACCCTGAGGTCAGACGTGAGTGCACCTGTCACGTTCGTGTTTCTAGAAGTTGGCACAGATCCTGGCTTAGCTGTCAAACTATTCCTAGGAACGGTGCACGTGGTTGCTGCTTCTAAAACGCCATTTTTCATCAGACTCAGTCTTGGCTCAGGGTCCGTCACCGAGGCCTCTGGTGGCAACTGCCCAGCAAAGCCTCATTCCTGGGTGTCAGCCAGTGTGGGCTGCCTTTGTCAAGCTTCTTTAAAACATTCACAATTAGCACTTTGAAAACCAGTAAAATAAAGTTTTATTTTGTAGTTATTTCCAAAGTTGACAGACATGGATCAGACATCCGATTTAGTTGCACTGCAGAAAATGTTCATAACCACTTCATAGAAATTACACCATTTTTGTAAATATTTGGGATGGACACATCATTGTTCAAATATTTTAATCCGTAAGCATGAAAGTTTAACAGCCAGAGGCAAACAGAATGAGCTGTCAGCTAGCTATTTTACTTAAACAGGACCCTTCTGGCTATCCCCACCTGGCCCCTCTCCTGTGAAACCAGCAGGTGGCATCCCCTCTCACCTGCCCAGGTGCTCCTGTGTCCAGAGGCCTAATAACACAGGTGTGTTCACACCCAACAGCATCAGGGATGCAAGACTGTGGAGTGAGACATTGGTTCTCAACCCAAGAACCAGATGGAAAAATCTTTATTTGACAAAGTGACGAAAGGGTTTAAGAATGTGAAGAATGTACAAAGCGAAATAAGTTATGGATGGGAATGCTGGGCTCGCCAAGTCCCTGGTGCCGGTGGGCTTTGCTGAGTGCCTCAAGGGGTCGTGTGGCCGCCGCAGGTGCTGTGGTCCCCACGGTGACACCTGTGAGGAGGCCTTCGCCCCACAGGCTCCTGGGGTGAGACTAGGGCAGGAAACCTCGCCAAAGGACCAGCACGTTCCCCTTTCCATCCTGGGCCAGAATGACGCGGCGGTTGAGACACCTCACCCTGCCTCCGCCTGGTCCTAGAGAAATGAGGTGACCCAGCGCAGCCTGTGGAGTGGACGGAGGCACGGTCTCGCCCGTGTTCTTGGCGGCTCCCATGCCAGAGCCGGGCACGGGTGAGGAGAGCGGGGCTCAGGAGCGGGAGATCTTGTCTGGAGGCATGAACCCTGTGTCCCCGAGGGCCCTGAGTGCCACACAGCCGTCAGGCCGGACCACCAGGTGGGTGATGCTGCCATTGTTGAGGGAGAGGCGGAGCCAGCCTTCTGGAGGGAACTGCAGTGCCCTGGGGAGAGGAGGGGGGAGAATGTGCTGCAAGGATCGCCGAGCTCTAGCCACCCCTGCAGACCAGGCGCTGGGCTGAGTGACAGCATTTATGGGATTGCATCACACATGTCGTGACCTGCACATGAGTCAGAAACACACTGGTTTCCTCTAAGTGCACACGATTTGTTTCCATTGAGAGGGGCGGGCAGGGACAGCCCCCAGCCACGGAGCCTTTCCCTGCTCTCCATTAGGCATGGTTAGTATTTACAAAAAAGCCCAGTCTTATTGGGGCACCAGGCATCCTCCGTGCCCAGAGCTTGGGGACGAGTAGCATGGCCCCGGCTTACCCTGTCCCGGCAGCCACCGAGTTCTGTCAACTTAAAAGAATAACCTTCCTGCTCCATAAAGTCTCCGTGTGGCCTTCGCTGTCCTCAGCGTCTGCCCTCAGTCACCATGGAGACGCGTTGGCTCTTTCTGGCCCTTTAGTTCACAGGTCACCCCTACCCCAAGCCCCAGGCACTCCTGGTGCCGTTGCAGCATGGGGGTCACCCAGCAGTGACTGCTTAGGCCAACCTGTCCCAGGATGTGAATAACGCTCTGTCCACACAGCACAGCACAGCAGCCCCCAGGCGGCTTGCCCTCAGGTGCCCAGAGCAGCAAGCAGCACAGCCCCGGGAACAACGTGCACTGAGCACAGGTGCCGGGGCTGGGCCCCCAGAGCACTGGAGTGAAGGGCGTGGAGCCCAGGTGCCCCTCATCCCCAGAGCATGGGTCTGGCTGGGAGCCTGAGTGAGCTGAACCCCTGGGCCTCACTGGGGCCGCCGGTCGCCCAGGCCACAGGCCCAGGGTCAGGCAGGGCGAGCGGAGGCCCTGGGCAGCTGGCTGAAGTGCGTCCTGTCCTGCCGCTGCTGGACTTGTCCTGAGGGCAGCCCCTCAGCGATGGGAGTGCCTGACACTTTCTAATGGATTTGGGGGGAAGGGGAGGGTTCCTCAGTTATTTTCTATACACAGCACCCAGCTGGCTGCCCCACCTCCAGGCACTGACACCGGCTGCTGCTCAGGGGCCACGTCACCAGGGTCCTGGGACTTTCTGTGCAGCCAGGAAGGACGGGCACCGAAGCCGGGGAAGGAGTTCCCTGACTGGCGCCATAGCAGCGGAGCAGCAAGGTGACTAAGGAGGTGGGTGCGACTCAGCACAAAATAAAGGCCCCAGAGCCCACCTGATACAAGCAAAGGGAGGCAAAGACTGGCTCCTGCAGAACTATGGTAACGAGGACAGATCGCGGCACACACCAGCCGTGCAGCAGGGGACTCGGTCGGTGTGAACCCGAGGCGAGGAAACAGGATGTGGGCACGTCGCCACCGAGGGGAGACACAACTGTGCAGGGACAGGCGCAGCACATACGGAATGGTGCCTTCACTCAGGGCCACGCTCACACCACCCAGGACAGGACCTAGGCTATCTGCTGCCCAAACACACGATCACGAGAAACTCCAGACACGCGGCCTCCAGGACAGTGGGAAGGCCCGAGGCAGGCCAGCGGAGGGCGCCTCACCTGCACACGATGTAGCGGATGACGTTGGCATGGCATATGAAGATCTCGTAACTGTCCTCCTGCTGCTTGACATCTGCCCGGTGGATGTAGTTCCGGAAGGCGGCCTCGATCCTGGCTCCGTCTTCATAATACTGCTGGGGGCAGAGAGAGGCACCTAAGCCTGGAGGCTGCCAGCCCGAGTGGAGGGAGGAGGGAGAGCCAGGGGGCAGCAAGGGAAGGGAGACCACCGTCCTCGGGCGTTTTACCACAGCTTCCGGCTTCCAGTGAGACACGGGCGGGTCAGGCTCGATGGGGGCGCCTTCCCTCAGCAGGTCAGTGCTGACCGTGGAGACACCTGGAGAGCAGCAGGGATCAGCGGAGACCCCGGGTGTCCCTTCAAGCTGCCAAGGGACCGGGACGGCCACACTCACCTGGCAGGTGTTTGCTGATGATGTCGGTGGTTTCTACTGCGCGGGTCATGGAGGAATGGACGATTTTGTTAAACTTCAACCCCAAGCTTGCAAGTCGGAGACCAGTGAGCTCAGCCTGTTCACGACCTTGAAGGTGAAACATGAGAATTACATGCGGCTGGAGTCCCTCCTGTGTACCCCACCAACGCTTCTGTCCTTACCAAGTAACAATGAGTCGATCTAGTGACCTTCAGTCCCAGGCAGAAAAAAAACCATTAAACAATGAGGAAGGTAGAGGGTTGCTAACATCTGGGTGGGCCCTGCCTACTGTCTCCGAGTCCCTCACACCAATCTCTCTCAACTTTGTCCAAAGACTGAGGCTCGAAGGCTGTGACCCCACTGGCTATGTGAGCCCCACAGACGCGAACATGGGTGTCGCTGCCTGCGGCAACACCCACTGCACGGGCAACCTCATTTTCTTGTGCTGCACAGACCTTGCTCTTTTTACAAATTGAAGGTAAGACCCTCCACCAGCAAAAAAATTACAACCAGCTTTACTGCCATGGCCTGGAACCACACCCACAATATCTTTGCAACATTTGAAGTTGAGGATGTTTTCAAAGCCGGCCTTGTGTCAGAGGCTGAGAATTGCTGACAACGACAATGCTCGAATCTGGGCCAACAGGCTCAGGGAGGCCGCTCAGCCTCCCACATACCCAGGGGTGTCAGGGTGCGGTCCTTTTCCCGGGGGGCGTCCGTGTGGTACTGGGAGTGCCTGATGAGGAAGATGTGCCGCGTGGCCTTGGCTTTGTAGTTGTCGATCCTGGACGCCAAGTCCTCGTCTCCAGAGCCCGAGTGCCTCTTCCGAAGGTTGACCAGGGAGAGCGGTTCTCGCCTAACGTTGAAACAGGAGACAGCATGTCCTTGTGACCCGCCTCGCCTGCCACCCTGGAGAACTTCTGACAAGATGGTCTTGCTGTCCGGGGAGAGCACAGGAGCCAATGCCCTCATCCACCCCAGAGCCGGGTGCCAGGCCTACTGTGGGCAACCAGACAGGGAGCAAAACAGACACACAAAGCCCTTCTGCAGCTTGTTCTGCAGGGACAGACTGGGACCAGCAGGTGACCAGTGACGGAGAAAGGAAGCAGGTGATGGGAAGGAGCGGCTTTGGGAGGGCGGCCACAGCCCGCTGAAGGGGAGGCCGAGTCTGGAGCTGTGCTGCCCAACAGTAGCCACTAGCCCTGTGGCTACTTCACTCAAAACAAAGAAAATGAAATAAAGTTGAAACTCCACTTCCCCAGTCACGCTAAGCACAGTTTAAATGCCCAGCAGCACATGGGACGATGAGGACAGGTTCCCACGATCATGGCCCAGATGGACGGCATTCCGAATGCTGGGACCTGGTGGAAGGGGCTAGGACACAGCAAAGCCACTGAGAAGTGACAGGTGATGGCAGGTGTGTCCGGTGGCTCGATAGAAACAACATCAGTGACACTGGCAAGGCCAGGACAATAACACTCGGCTGGAGTGAGTTCTGGGGCCCCAGTGGTGATTCTGGGGCTCTGCCTGGGCAGGGAACCCTCGGTGCCCGTAGCAACCAAGCTGTCATGGCAGGTGGGTGGGAGCTGGGGCTGAGTCAAAGACACCTGGGAGCTGCAGGCAGACAGGAAGTGCCAGGGGGCAGCAAGGGAAGGAAGAGGCTGCAGACGTAGAACTTTCCAGCACGGACGGTCCCCCCCGCCCATGAATCTAGGCTTCAACCTCCGAGTGAACCTGCTTCCTTACAAAGGCCTGAGACGTTCGGGAGCCTACACTGATGTCTAAAAAAGAGAAGAGAAATTAGGTGCGGAGCACACAGGAACTGTCATCTGGGCCAACTTCCTGAAAATCTAAAACTATTCACAAATAAGTTTACCTTTTAAACGTTAGAGGCTACAACAAAGAATCCCTACCGAGGTGCTGATAGGACCAGGCTAAGAGCCTCGCCCAGCAAAGTGCCATCGGGACCTGGGAATGTCTGTCCCCAGAAACACAACACCGCGACGTGGGCAGTTTCAACCCTGCGAGCAGGCAGCGTGGAAGCAGGAAGAGCGGCGGGGATTTCATGCAGTAACTCACTTTATTCAATCCGGCGCGTCACAAGGACTACCGGCAACTAAGTACTTACGCATCTGCGCTGCTCTGGTTTTAAAATTTAAATTAACATTAAATGAGACTAAGAATTGTTTCCAGGTCACAGGAGTCACCTTTCAAGTGCTGATAAGGGCACGTGTCTGGGGCCAGGGACCGACCCAAGGTCCCGGGAGGCGCCTGCGAGTCCTGCCCCGGCGCGTCCTCCCTCCTCGGCACCCACACCCTCCTCCCGGCGGTCAGGAGGGTCCGACAGCCACCGCCGACCCGGAGCCGGAGCCGGAGCCGGAGCCGGAGCCGCAGGAGGGAAACCGCGGCGACAGCCCGTCGCGAGGTCCTCTGCCCCGAACTGAAGGCGACCCCTTGGGTCAAAATGACCACTGTCCCCGCTTCCCGCGCTCGCCCCTCGTCACAGCCAGAGACCCGCACGGAGCACGCCGCCCTCTGTCGAACCGGCTTACCAGGCCGAGCGGAGCGGCCAGGGGCCGGGAGGACCCACCCGCGGCCCCCCCGGCTCCCTTCCTGCACCCGCGGCCACCACCCTGCACCCGCGGCCACCCCCCCTGCATCCCCGGCCCCCCTCCTGCACCCGCGGCCCCCCTCCTGCACCCGCGGCCACCCCCCTGCACCTCGGCTCCCTTCCTGCACCCCCGGCCACCCCCCTGCACCCCGGCTCCCTTCCTGCACCCTCGGCCACCCCCCTGCACCCCCGGCCACCACTCTACACCCCCGGCCACCCCCCTGCACCCGCGGCCCCGCACCTGTCCCAGTTGGGGTTCCAGACGCCGGGCCCGGGATGCGCGGCTCCCGCCCACGCCGGCGGCTCGACCACGCGCGGCTCCGCGTCCCCGCCCCCGCGGGGCTTCCCCACCGCCACGGCCGAGAAGAGCACGGCGGCCGAGCCGCCCGCCAGGCCACAGGCCGCCAGCTGCAGCGCCTGCCGGAACGCCATGCCTGCCCGTCCCGCCGCTCCGCGCACGCGCTTATGGGCGCGGACCGCGCGCGGCGAGGCTCACGCTTCCGCCGACGTCAGCTCCCGGCGAGCGGGCCGACGCCGCGAGCCGGAAGTCCCGCCTCCCGGGGCGCACTGGCCGCGGGGGCAGCCGGGAACGCAGCCAAGAGGTGAGTGGCTGTGCTGTGGTTCCCCCCAGTTTCTGCGGGAAGTCCGGGGGCAGGTCGCTGCCGCCTTCGAGAGCGAGCGTTCCCGCGGCCGGGACAGCGCGGGGCTCCGGGACTGCAGGTGCGGAGAGGAGGCGGGGGAGGCGGCCCCGGAGATGAGAACTTGGGCGCTTGTTTTGTCTTCACTGTAAAGCAGGCACCCAGGGGGCTGCTGTCCTAACCACGTGCAAGCTCAGCCCAGGGCGTCAGGCGCGTTCGCGCTGTGCAGCGACACCCCCGTCCCCTATGTACACCCTGCCGGCGCCCACTGTCCCCGTCACTCGCTCGCTCCGCGTTTCCCGCGCGCGCCCTGGCTCCCGCCATCCGTTTCTATGCGGTTGACGCGAGGGACCGCGTATAATGGAATCGTCTAGTCCTTGTTCTTTGGGGACCAGCTTCCCTCACCCAGCATCATGTCCTCAAGATTCATCCGTGATGTAGCAGGAGCTGAATTCCCTTCCTTTTTAAGACCGAACACGGTCCCGCTGTATGGAGAGCCCACATCTTCCTCTCCATTCACCAGTCCGCGGACACGGGTTGTTCCCACCTCCTGGCCGTTGTAATGCTGCTGTGGGCATGGGTGGGCCGATCTCTCCTCCAGTCCCTGCTCTCAGTTCTCTGGGGTCGCACGCCCATAGGGAAGTTCCTGGGTCATCTTTGCAGGTGTTCAGGTTGGGAAGTGACATGATCTGAGTTACATTTTAAAAAATCACTCTGGCCCAGCTGGCGTGGCTCAGTGGTTGAGCATCAACCTACGAACCAGGAGGTCACGATTCGATTCCTGGTCAGGGCACATGCCCAGGTTGGGGGCTCCATTCCCAGCCAGTCAATGATTCTCTCTCATCATTGATGTTTCTCTCTCCCCATCTCTTCTTTTCTGAAGTATACACACACACACACACGTTGTTTTTTTAAGTAAGAAGCCCCCAGAGCCACAGCAGTCATTAGGAGAAATTTAAATTACCCTTGAAAAAGGTACATTATAGTTTATTGTGATCCTAATGCAGTCTAAGGTGACAAGTGAAATCATTCTTAGTATTTTTTCGAGGTTGCTGTTTCTCCATCATTTTAGGGCGCATTGATCACATGATCTGGAGTCAGATTCGTTCTGCCCCGGCCGTTTCTGTCTCACCCGGGCAGGTGGCACTCCCCCGTGCTGGTGTAGCCTCTCCAGATCCTCCTCACTTCCCCAGGGAGGCCAGGTAGGCGTACCAGAATAGAGCCACCAGGTTAGCAAAAAGCACCCGGAACTGCCAGAGAGAACACAGGCCCCAGTGAGCGCAAGGCCCTGACAACACCCACCAGGCACCAGTCCCCTCGGGCCGAGTTCCTTCACTGGCAGGTCCGGCCGGCACTGTTGCACTTACAGGCCTTTACTTTGTAGGGAGCACTGGGCAAGACCCCCAGCAGAGAGCAATGGGGAAGACAGTTCCTGCCTCACTAGTTACACAGGCCAGCAGGGAAAACACTGAGTAACTGTCCCTCACCCTCCTTCACGAACAACAACTTCAGGTCCTGGCTCAGCCTCTTACCCCAGGACTGGCCATCACACGGTGCCTTCATCCAGTCCTGACACCCTCCTGACCGGCTCTTCACTCTAGGCTGTCACTGCCCATTGCCCTGCTCAGTGATCTCACAGGCAAACGCCACCTGAACTCCAGTCAGTGAGTCTATCCGGCAGGTAAGCTCCATGGACGAAAGTCTGGTCCATCTCGTTAACCACTGTATCCCAAGTCTGGAGCAGCGGGGCAGAGAGTAGGTGCTCCACAAACATTTGTTGAATAAACCACTGCCCCTTAAGCATCGCCTGCAGCCACCTGAAATGGAACTCCAGCCACACCGCATTCTGTCCCTACTACTTTCAAAGACTCCGTTTTCCAGCCTGCCCTCTGACAGCCACAGAGCCATGTCCTCAGCCATCCTGTCTTCTTTGTGGAGTGCATGGTGTCCTTACCTACCTGTTCCCTGGGTTCACTCTTGGGAAAAACCTCGACCCTCCCTGCCTCTCACCTCTCCGAGCCCCAGGCCCGTGCACGTGCAGGTCTTCAGCCTCTGTGGCCCCCGTCGTCTGCATGCTCACGTTCTCAAGTTTACCCCTTTACCCCTCTTCAGTCTGCCCTACCCATCCCTGGCCCTCCCAGAGGAAAGAAGGTGTGGACAGAGGTCCCCAGTAACAGTCACCCCGAGAAAACAAAGATTGTTGCAAGGGTGGGGGAAAGGCTGATGGGAAAGGGCCTCTGGTGGAGGCTGGGGCCCTGGGGCCCTGGGCAGTGAGGCAGCCTCACCTGTATGGGGACGTAGTTGACGTTAATGAACTGCACTGGGGTCCAGACGCGCCAGTTCATCTGCAGCGCCGGCCAGAATGCGCTCCTCACCTTGGCAGCGCCAGCGGCGGCATCTCCGCCCTGGAAAGGAAACACGGGGTGAGTGAGCCACACTGCCTCAGGCTGAGATTGGGGCACTGGGGTCTGGGGACCCCCAAACCCTAATGCAGTGGGGTTTTTTCACTGTAGACTTTGTTCCGTGTAAACATGGCAGCACATACGGGTGGGTAATGAGCAGTGCAGCTGTAAGCAGCTCACCATCCACTTGGGAAACCACCAGAGCAGTGAGCGCTGCTCACACGGTGGGGACCCGTGTCCTTGCCCTCGCACCGAGCTGACCTGGTGGTGGGGGGCAGATGCAAGGCCAGAATGACGTGAAATGGAGGTACAGTTGGGGCAAGGCCAGTGCTCAGTAATTGCAGCTGGTGCTGTGGTCCTGCATCGCTGCCGGGAGGGCCTTCCAGACGACAGTTCTAGGAGTTAACCAACCAGGAACCCACACAAAAGGGACAGCCTGTGGTGGAACCTGCGACAGGGTGTCTGGTGAAACACGCTGGCGGCGGCGGCTGGAGTGTGTGATTGTGTGAGCTCGTGGTCCGCTGTGCTCCTGCATATTCCCTTTCTGTGTCGGGACTTTATGCACTTTGATAACACTTTATATACTCCCTTTGTATTTGGAAGGAAATAAAAAGAGCAACAGCCGTTGTACCCTCGCCTCTAATGTGGGCACCTTTTGCTTCCTCCTGGCTCAGATGTCCTAAGGACTTCCCAAACATTTCTTTTTCAAACTATCAGGGAATTACTAGCAATCACAGCTAAGTCTTAACATCTTTCCTACTTATCCCCAGGGTCATGGTACACAACAAAGGTAATTCTCCTTCGTAACAAAAACTGGAGATGTTTCAAAATAAAACCTCAGTGAGGAGCCTTTACCTGCTGTGATTGGTTGGAACAAATGTCAAGGCAGACCATGGCACATTCTGGGCACAGCAGACTGGCAGAGCGCGGGTGGAGGGGTTGAAGGGCCCGTTAGAGCGGACCTGACCTGGCGCGGTGGGCTCAAGTCGGCCTCCTCGGGGCACCCAGGCTCTCGGGTACCAAGTTAGCTCAGGCTTCTGCAACATCACTGAGGCCTGAAACTCCTGGGCCCCGGGCCTCCTCCGCAGTCTGCGTGACTCCTTTTCGGAATCATGTCTGATGACGTATAAAATGTACAGGACTACTGTGGGAACAGCCACACTGAATACAGCTACCCAAGTATTCGGGAACGTTCTCTGACGGGCTAGAGGACGTGCTTTATTAACACCTTCAGGGACCAGACCTGACCGCAGGCGCAAGGAGTGGGGCGCACAACCCAGGCTCGGGGACATCCGACTGTGGTTTCCGCTCATACCCACAGGCACTGCCAACACGGCTGTGCTTTGCTTCCGACGTGGATCAAGGCAACTGTGAACCTTCAATGTGAGAGTCGGAGAAGTTCGCAGACCCCAAGTTCCACCCCGATGCCAGGCTAAGAACCCTTGCCCACTGGGGAGCGGCAGCAGAGACCAACCTCCAGGAAGCTCATGACGAGGAAGAACAGCAGCAGGAAGGCGGGCGCGAAGAGCAGGCGGTCCAGGAGCAGCCTCTTGAGCCCGGCCCAGGGCACCTCGGGAGGGATCCAGTGCTCCATGAAGAGGTAGAAGAAGTGGCTCAGCGGCCCGGTGAAGAAGAACCTGAGGCCACAGGGGGAGGGGGAGGGGGAGCTGGACCACCTTCTCAGGGCTAGGCTCACCCCCAAACGCCAGGTCCCAAACCCGGCCTCTCTCCGCACGGACCACACAGACCCATGGTCCTGGAAAGTGCACTTTGTTTGAATCTGCTTCCAGCGTTCCTGTTTGCTTCCAACAGGCCAGACTTGTTCCTGCCTTGGGTTCCTGCCACCTTCACGTGGCCGGCTCCTTCTCAACACTTGGCTTGGAGAGTTCTTTCCTGGTGGCTCTAGAGCCCCCTGCTGTCCTTGCCACCCTCTCTTCCAGGCCCATGTGGCTTTCTTCATAGCATTTATCACCACATGCCCTGACCCCATTTGTTTAGTTGTATAGTGCCCTCTCTCTGCCCCAGTAAGTAAAACCGTCACAGGGCAGGACCGTGTCTGTCTGTTCACTGCTGTGTCTGCAGTGCCCCGGCAGGGCCTGAGTCAGAGGTGCTCAGCAATAAATAAATGCACCCCCAACCCCACCCCTGGAGTTTTTCCATCAAATCCTTCAGGTAATCAGCCAGGGTGAACCCTGGGGCTGTGCACCTGTTGCCTGCGTTGCTGCTGCTCTTTCCAGGGTGTGCAGAGAACTGGGCCCCGCCACAGCATCTGGGACAAGACCTGCTGCTCCATAAAATTCAGTAATAGAAAGGGGCAGGGACTCGGGGACCTTCCAACTTCTGACACTGAAAGCCTTTAAGCAAGTGGTTCTCAGTTGTCCATTCTCACCCTGAGGACCAGTGGCCTGGAGCAGGGGTTCTCAGTGGGAGAACAG